GTTGGAGATCCTGGTGAGGCAGCTCCAGGAAACAACGATAGAAAAAATCAAGTTAGTGGAGGTGGCCAGAAGACAAGACCTCCTGCAGAATAGAAGGTGGACCACCAAGTGGACAAAGGAAGCAGGAAAGATCAGGGAAGGGCGAGCCCATAGCCTAAAGCCATCTCTTGAGGCAAAGGGGGGTGAGTGTAGAGCCTGCTGGCAGGGAGGGAGCTGGGGGTTAGACAGGCATCTCCTACCTACTCCTCTTCCTCCCGGCCTCTGATCTGCCCTGAGAAAGGATGATGTCCCCGGGTAAGAGAATCCCAAGGGCAATTCACCACTCCAGGCTCCTTATGGAAATCTGTGCCCAGATCCCATCTTGGAATTTGATCTTCTGAACTCAACATAAAGTCTACAGAGTCTTAGAGAAAACTCAGGAAATCTGCTCTGTGGAGATTGGGAGAGAGCAGACATTCAAAGGAAAAAAGTAGAGTAATTCTGTAAGAGTATTAAGCAGTGCTGCTGAATTGGAATAAAATACAAGCCTCATGACAATTTTAAATTTTGTAGTAGCCACATTAATAACAGTAGAAACAAATAAGTGAAATTAATTTTAATTATATATTTCATTTAACTCAGTTATGTTCAAAATATTGTTTCAGTATGTCATCAATATAAAATTTATGAATGAAACACTTTACATTCTTTTCTTCATACAAAGGCTTTGGAATTTGGTGTGTGTTTTACGTTTATAGCACATCTCACATTGGACCAACTACATTTCAAGTGCTCAATAGTCACAAGTGGCCATGGCTACTGAATTGGCCAACACAGCTTTAGAGCAATCACTGGAAGCTGGGGTAGTTAGTGAGACTTCTGAGCTCCGGCCCGCCCTGCTATCACCTGAAATACTGACGCCAGGAATGGTCTGCATTGACTTTCCAGATCAGTTTCATCAGAAAGTCAGTGAGACAGAGGTTTAAAAAGTGAGGTCACTGATAATTCTGCAAACTCAGAAAGAAAATAAGTATAGGACCTGCTATTCTGCTCAAGGCAAATTTCCTTTCAACTATGAGACACAATTTTGCAGTTATGCATATTTACAAAGATTAGGTACAAAAAATGCTGTTGCCAGTATGGTGAGATGGGGTCACATACCACTGGAAGGAATGTAAATCTGTGGAGACTTCTGGAAAGCCACTTGACAGAATGTGTCAATAGCCTGTGAAAAGTTTCTGTTTTGTAACTTTCACTTCCAGAAATCTGCCTTTTGAAAAGTCAAAGATTCTGACAGTTTCTTTGTTTTGTTTTTCTAAACAAGGGACTTCTGCTCCTAGCTATGATAGTAAGTAGCTTGTGGCTCCCACAGAGGACAACTGTGGGTAAATTGATCAACAAAGTGTGGTGTATTCATATTATAGGGTACTTTCAACAATAAATATGAATGAAGTAAGAATACAACATGAATGAGCGTCACAGATATTATGCTTAGTGAGAGAAACCTGGCTGAGAAGAGCATGAAGTGTATGATTCCATGCATTTCGAAAATCTGATCTAGAGATCAGATCAGTGGTTTCCTGGGGCGGAGTAGACTGGAGTGGGGGAGAATGTGACCGCAAAGAGGAATAAGGGAAATTTCTGGGGAGACAGAAATGTTCTATAGGTTGATTGGAATGTTATATGAGAATACTTCAAAAAGTCCATGGAAAGACTCACATTATCTTTCAGTTCTGTTTTTCCACGAGTTTTTTGAAATACCCTCATATATCTCACATGTGTGTGCATGGACCTATGCATATAGATATACATGTATGATTGGTCAAAAGTCAACCCATACACTTAGTATCTGTCAATGGTATTGTATCAAATTATACATCAATAAAGTTGATTTTTTTTAAGTAAACGCAAAATACAGACATTTCCAGATAAAAATTGAGACACTTTGGTGCCGGCNTTTTAAGTAAACGCAAAATACAGACATTTCCAGATAAAAATTGAGACACTTTGGTGCCGGCACATCTACACTAAAATAAATACTAACGAGAGTTTTTCAGGTAGAAGAAAAATGATCCCAAGACAAAAACAAACTGACACAGAAATTGTTAACGTCGGTGAATATAAGTACTGACGGAACACAACAATATTAGTATCTTATGGGGACTGAAATATACGTAGAATCACCACACATGACAACAGTAGGACAAAAGGTAGGAGGGAGTAAACGGAGTTAAAGTCTTCTAATGTCAAAGCATTTTCTGGTAATAGGCAAAAGTATTACTTTATAACACTGAGCTCTAACCAGCTGAGCTAACCAGCCAGCCCCAAAATATTACTTTATATTAGACTAACAATTTAAGGATTTAGGTTTTAATCTCTAAGATTAAAACTAAAAAAATAGTAAAAGAATACAAGACAGTAGAAGGAGGAAACAATAATAAATATACTTATTTTCAAAAAAAGGCAGAGAGAGGGAAAAAACACAAAACAGGTGAGACAAAAACTAAACACAATAGACATAAACTCAAATATATTTGTAATTAAATGTAAATGGATGCAATACACCAATTATAAAACATATGAAGGTACTTGAAAAAGTTCATGGAAAGATTTGTATTATCTTTCAATTCTACACTGTAGCAGTGCACCACCGGGCCGGCCCCTGACACAGAAATTGTTAACGTCGGTGAATATAAGTACTGACGGAACACAACAATATTAATATCTTATGGGGACTGAAATATACGTAGAATCACCACGCATGACAACAGTAGGACAAAAGGTAGGAGGGAGTAAATGGAGTTAAAGTCTTCTAATGTCAAAGCATTTTCTGGTAATAGGCAAAAGTATTACTTTATAACACTGAGCTCTAACCAGCTGAGCTAACCAGCCAGCCCCAAAATATTACTTTATATTAGACTAACAATTTAAGGATTTAGGTTTTAATCTCTAAGATTAAAACTAAAAAAATAGTAAAAGAATACAAGACAGTAGAAGGA